CTGAGTGGGTAAATATTTCATATCATATATCAGACAAGAGGCTAATATCCAAGATCTATAAATAACTCATACAACTCAACAAAAAGAAAATACCCCAATTAAAAATGACACTTTTCTGAAGGAAACATACAGACAACCAAAAGGCATATTCATCATCTCTTGTCATCAGGGAAATACAAATAAAAATCACAAGGTACCACCTTGCTCCTGTAAGAATAGCCAGTATCTAAAAGGGGGTAAAGGAACCCTCATATACTGTTAGTGGTAATGTAGAATGGTCCAGTTCTTATGGATAATAGCATGAAGGCTTCTCGAAAATTTAGAAATAGATCCACCAAAAATAAATGATCAAATAATCTACCTTACAATCCAGCAATCCCATTTCTAGCTATCTACCCAAAAGATGCAAAAACACTAATTGGAAGGATTAGATACATTTCTATGTTCATGTAGCACTATTTACAATAGCCAAGTTATGGAAAACAGCCTAAGTGCCCACGACAGAGTGAGTGGATAAAGAATATGTGGTATATATACAAGTGGAATTCTACTCAGATATTTAAAGAGATGAAAGTTTGCTATTTGTGACAACATGGATGAAGCTAGAGGGGGGTTGCCAGGCAAAATAAGTCAGAAGGAGAAAGACTGGATGGTTTCACTCATTTGAGGAATATAGAAAAACAAAACAAAGGAACAAAACCTAAGCCAAAACAAACTCTGGAAATCTGACTGTAGAACTGAAACTACAAGAGAGGGCAGATGGCCGAAGGAGAGGAAAGAGGGAGGGGGCCCAATGGAATATGGTAGAGGTTTATGGGTCTTTGGTGGTGGACATAGTCTTGTAATACACATCTTAAGAGGCATGAAGCCTATAATCCCAAGTTATATACATTCTTGTAAATCACTGTTTACTCAGTGAAGATTATACAATAAAAAGGAAAATGTAGGACTCCTTGTTAAAAAATGAAGAATTATCACCTAAGATGGCAGCAGTAAAAATTACAACATGCCACTCCCCAGGCTGCAGGTCCATGCAGCCGGCTCTGGCACCAAACTACATGCAGAGTAAGTCAGGACCCAAACCTGAGGCGCAGAAGCTGAGTAAGGCCCTGGTGGGACCTTGACATGCAGGGGATAGACCCTGGATCCCCAGGAAGGCCTTGGCAGCACTGTGTGACCTTTCTACCTACCTAATACCTGACTTTCCAGAGCCAAAGCTAGAGGAAGCAGAGAAGGGCTTGGTGTGGATGTGTAAAGGAGAAACACAGCCTGTCCAGGCTTCTCTCAGAAGCTGATCTTCAAAAGCTGGGGTCCCAATCTCTTTAACATTGATCTAGGGGCTCTTCCCCATCAGGAGGACCAGAAATCACATGTAGAAGGAGAGACACATGGTTGTCTTTCACCAACCATAAAGTAGCCAGAATCTCAACCACCCACCCCACCTGCATAAGCTAAGGTCAAATAGAGTCCAGATCCCGAGGGGATCGTGTGACAATGGAGATGTCTCTTGTTTGTACCGAGGGGTGGTGGTGAGCTCCATGCCCAAACCAGCCTGCTGGGTTTGGCAGTGGAGGGCTGACAGCAAAGACTGACAATGGCTGTCTGAAGTTCACTCTGTGAACCAGAGAGAAATTCTAGATCCCAGAGAACAGGTGCTCAGGACTATCTCCCCTAAGTCAATTCCCATTCTTGATCCCCATCTTCTATCAACCACACACAATCACAATTTTGGTTCTCACATCAAAGTGATTACTGCCCACTACCTCCCTTGACAATTTTGGTTCTCACATCAAAGTGATTACTGCCCACTCCCTCCACCTCTCCCTTGACTGGCCAGCAGAGGGAGATAGAGAGCAAGCCAGCCTCTCACATCAGCACCAGAACCCTCAGCCTCCTGCTGGATTAAGAAGCTTTTGTTCGACCTGAAGTGTCCTTATGTTTTAGTCTTAGATCTCTTCCACCATGATTTAAATTCTCCCAAATCCCCCTGAATATAAACCAGGACTCTGAGAAGGAGCCTCTGAAACCCTAAAGGGGATCTGTGGTCTATCCCTAATGATGATCCCTAATGATGGGGATCAGGGGGTGTGATGTTGAGGATGGTTATCCTGAGGGGGAGGAAAGTGAGCAAAGAATGGGGCAGGGAGCAGAGATCCAGATGGTCAAAGTCCAGTTTTGTTTAAAAACACAGAAGAGAGACTGAAAAGGCGCTACCACACTGAATGGAACTTTGGACCCAGAAGTGGGCTGACTCAGCCTAGGGTTTGCTGAGAGTGGTGTGCTCCAGTTTCCCCATCCACCACCAGCCCCTCAAGAAGACTTCTGGTTAAGATCAAAATTGCTCTCCATGGCTTTTAAGCATGTTTTGTTTTTGGTGAGACCGTGAGGAGTCTCCAGGTGAGAGCTGGCAGGCTCGGCTTTGTTCAGGCTGCACACACAGACTGTGTCCCCACCTCCTGGAGCCTGACTCGTGACTGTCTCGTCCTGTCACTAGAGGCCTGTATAAAGTCCCCTCTCAAGTTCCTTCCAGGCAAGGATCTCAGACTTGGCATCTACAGTGAGATGCTGAATTCCCATCACAGACACGTATTTGAGGACTTTCCACAGATTTCACTGAGCTTCTGCCTCTGTATGTGTGTTTGTGTCTCTGTATGTGTCTGTACCTATATCTGTGTGTGTGTGCATATCCCTGTGTGTCTGTGTGTGTATCTGTATATGTGTCGTTGTCTGTATGTGTGTGTGTCTGTATGTGTGTGTCCATATCTGTGTGTGTACCTGTATGTACCTGTCCGTGTGTGTATCCTTGTGTGCCTGTATATCTGTGTATACGTTTGTGTCTATATCTGTGTGTGTGCGTGCACACACACCACAAACTCCGTGACGCAAGGAGACGCTGAACAGGAAACAACAGAAACCATTTGGTCTATCTCCTCCTGCCTACACAGACATATGTGTCTCCAGCGCCGTGGATACATACACGCAGCTAAAACAAATGGCACGAGGTCGACGTGTGCCGGCTGACAAGCAAAAAGGTGAAGGATCACTTCTCAGCTGCTCTGCTCTCTGCTGGGGTCTGAAGACACGTCTCCCCTTATCACACCCCAAAGCCTCTTCACGAACCTTGGGTGCTTCCTCACGACCATGGTGACGCCAGAACAGAGATGGCTTCCTCCATCCCATGCACGCCCCAGCACTACTACCTCTCCAGCCCATCTCCCAAAGGAGCCCCCCTTCCTTTCCTCGCATCCAGTCAACATTCACCTGCCACCTGTGTCTGGGCTCGGCTCCCCACCCACGCTGGCACCTGCCTGGCAGCTCCCGCCCACCCCCTCAGCCCTCAGCAGGTCAGGGCCCAAGGCCTGGGGCAGGGCACACGTGGAACAGGTTGATGCTGTTCTCCCGGAAGTGGAGCAGGAGGGGAGGGGTGACTGGGCGGGCGGGGGCCCTGGAAGCCTACATCCCTGCCTCCCTGAAGCATAAAGCATCAGCCTGTGCTGGCCAACCTGAAGACCGATCGCGCCTGGGCGCTCACCCCAGACCCGGCTGCTGTGCAGGACTCGTGCTGCTCCCTGGTAAGAACACGATGCGAGCGGAGGCAGGAGGTGCAGGGGGATGAAGAGGAGGAGATGGGTGGGACCAGAAGGGCTGGGGGACCCTAAGCCCAGAGGGTGGGTATCCAGACAGGCCTTGGGAGGGGGGGGAGAAGCGGCCTGGGGGCCCACCTGTGAGAGACTTATGGAGCCCTTCCCAGGAGCTTCCTGGACTCGGGGCTTGTCCTGCTCCATCCTGGCTCTCTTGGGGATGAAGGGTGAGAAGAGGGCATTGGGGCCCCTATGGAATGCAGGAAGGTGCACAGGCTTCTTGTGTCCCTGCCTCTGTGAGGTGTCCACCGGGAAGATGGGCCAGTCCTGCTCTGCCGGCGTGTCTTTTCTGCCCACAGGGATAATCCAGCTGTGCCAGCTGCTTTCCACTCAGAGCACCTGGGCTTGAACCACAAAGCCACTGAGCCCAGGCTCGCAGCCCCCACCTGCGGGGGGCCCTGTCTCCCCAGCCTGTCTCCCAGGGTCGTATTCATCCTTTGCTCATTCATTCTCTCCACCCATTTTCCAAGGTCTGAGTCTGCATCTGGCACCGTGCTGGGCGCTGAGGCCCCAGAGATGACTCAGGCCCAGGTCCTGCCCTCTGGTGGGCCACAGTCAAGCAGGGAAGCCGTGATCAGATCCTAGTGGCATGACCTCGCAGGTGTTTCAGAAGGGCGCTGGCACAGGGCTTCAAGAGTGCAGGGTGGCGACATTAGCTGTCTGTGCGGGTGGGAAAAACGGTCACAGAGGAGGTGACTTGAATTGATTCGTAAAGGATTCTTTAGATGGGGAGGGGCATTCTGAGTAGAAGATGCAAAGGCAAAGAGACAGAAGTGCCCGGATCTACTGCGCAGGACGTGGAGGGCACAGGGCCCACTCACCCACGAGCCTGGACCGGCACAAGGGAGGCCCAAGCCACAGGACAGTGACCAAAAAGAGAAGGGCAGCGGGTGAAAGGCACCGCCTCCGGCCCTGGGCTCACGGGAGGCCACCTCGCTGCCCTGGCCTCCTTGGCCCCAGCGTGGCCGGCACAGTTCCTTTCTGGCACAGCCCTGTGAGAGCAGCTATCCATCCAGCAGTGAAGAAAAGCTCCAGCTGGACTCCGAGTGTGTGCAGAAAGTGAGTGCAGGGCCAGCAAACAGCCCTTGCCTGAGAAAGGGAGGGACTGGCTCCTCCAGCTCACCCCGAGATCTGGAGCTGCTGTGTCCCCTTCATCGTGCAGCGAAGGTGCCTGGGCTTTGCCTCCCTGCGTCTCCAACAGCCCAAGGCTCTGGCAGCTCTAAGTGCCCCTCAAAAGAGCCTCCCTAAGAGAGTCCTGCACCCCATCAAGAGAGTCCGGCAACCTCTCTCCACAGGGCCCTTACTGGGTCCTGGTCTCTCAACCTGCCATTCTCCATCTTCCCGCCCCCCACAGAGACAATGACCTTGTTTGAAAACGTCACCCGGGCCCTGGCCAGACAGCTAAACCCTCGAGGGGACCTGACACCCCTCGACAGCCTCATCGACTTCCAGCGCTTCCATCCCTTCTGCCTGGTGCTGCGGAAGAGGAAGAGCACGCTCTTCTGGGGTGCCCGGTTCGTCCGCACAGACTACACACTCCTGGACGTGCTGGAGCCGGGCAGCGCACCCTCAGGTCAGCCTCGGGCGAGGAGCTGGTGCTGAGGGAGGGGCCAGGCACCGCCAGGGCTCCCTCTACCCAGACGTGGTCAGTTGTCACGGAGCTCCGAGTTCTCCTCGGGAGCTCATGTACAGATGGAGAGGGATGCGCTCAGTCCAACCCCTCCCCTCCACTACAGATCCAACAGACACGGGCAAATTTAGCTTTAAAAATATGCTGGATGCCCGAGTAGAGGGAGAGGTGGACGTGCCGAAGACCGTCAAGGTGACGGGGGCCGCAGGGATGTCCCGGAGCAGCACCCTGGAGGTCCAGACCCTCAGCGTGTCTCCCAAGGCCCTGGAGAGCTTGCACCAGGAGAGGTGAGAGCGGGCACCACGGGGTGCTGATGGGATGAGGTGGGGGTGCGTGGAGAGCGTGCTTTGGGGCCCTAGAGCCCTGAAGGCCATCTCTCACTGGACAGGGAAGCTTTGGCAGAGCCTTCTGACTAGCGGGGACATCCAAGCGATTGTCTAGCCCCTTCCCACACTCCCTCCCTCCCAGCCAAGATCACCCACCCATGACCTTGAGCACCTGCATGTTCAGACTAACTTGCCGTGTGATCACATCTCCTCTTGGCATCTCAGTTTTCTTTCCTGAAAATCTGATAAGGTTGGATGAAATCTCTAAGGTCCCTTCCTGCTCTAAGACTCTACAACAGACACTTAAAGGACGGGTCTTAAGTGCTCCCTGCTGTTGCTTGGCCACAGCGTCTGCTCCCATAAACGAAGCCTCCTGCCTGGCCACCTACACACCCCAGGCTACCCCAGGAATTCTGCCCAGCTGCACAGGGGTGTGGCGGATGCCGTTGCGCTGCCGGGAAGCTCAGATGTTTGGCTTGATGGGGAGCTGACTTTTAAGTAGGGGTTGAAAGAAGGGGATGAGGACTGCCAGGCAGGGAGGAGGGCTGGGTGCTGGGGAAGTCGCCCAGGCACCACTACACAGACTCCCTGAAAGCACAGCACCATGCTGGGTGCTGAGGTGCCCTGGAACATGCTGTCCGAGAGCCCTGTGATCTGGAATTATGGGACAACAGTGGCTATGAGCCAAGGCAATACGTTTCCATGGGGAGAGGAGGATTGGCTGAGTTGGGGGGCTTCTGGCTGGGGAAAGGAGGACAGACTTCACAGAGGAAGCCTGAAAGAGGAGTAGAAATTGGATGTGCAGGCCGGGAGAAGGACCTTACGAAGGCATGTGAGTAAGAAATCTCAGAACCTGTTAAGGACTTTGAAATAGCCTGTTTGGCAGGAGCAAAAGAAGTGGGAGTGGAGCAAGTGGGAGACGTGGGGTAGACACAGTCATGGAGGACACAGGTGCCAGACCACGCGCTGATGCGTGCCGTGACTAACCTGCCAGGTGCAGGAAGGGTGTCAGGTAGAGGATGAGGGGTGGGGTTGAAGCAGGCAGACCAGGCAGGACCCTCTCCACTCTTCATCAGAGATGGAAGGGGAAAGCTGAGCCAGGAGGGG